GGGACAGACAAAGGCTGGTGGGGAAGGGACCTCATTTACCCTAATGGACCGGATCCACTGACTCATCTCAGTGGGTTAGAGTGGGGGTGGCTGATACCGCAAGGTTGCAGGTTCATCCCCGTATGGGAAAGCTGCACATTCCTGCATTGGATTAGATGATCCTGATGGTCCCTTCTAAAACTATAGTTCTATGATTCTAATGATTGTCTCAGGATGAGGTCCCTACCATGGTACCGTGGCTACCATGGTGCCCTCAGGCACTCCCTTGGTACTTGCCATAGCTCCTACTTTTTCCGTTTTTATAAAAAAATATTATTCAATTGTTAGGGGTGCTGCTGAGTGTGGGTGCTTTCCTTGCCTTTTCCCTCTGTGGCTTCACTTCGCTTATAGGTGAGGTATGAGACACTTCCTGCCTGCGAACTTGCAGCAAGGCTCAAACTAGGTGATACAGTACTGTCACTACAAGGCTACGGCAACCATACCAGGATCCTGAGGACAGAGGCAGATTTAAGGGAGTGAGGAGCCATGGGGGGTGCCACAGGAGGCCACAACTATGAGGTAGAGGGGAAGGCAAGAGGCAGGGGGGCAAATTTTTTGAGCGTTGCACAGGGTATCACTGAGATTTGGACACCCAAAGTCCTGAGGAACAGCACCCTGTTGAAAGGCCACTGAATTTTTGTTATTTTTATTTTTTGTATGTGCTCTGTAGCTGTCCCCCTGCCCCAAGCTGTTTATTTTGTACATCACCTTGGGATATATGTGGAAGGCGATTAAACAGTAATAGTAATAATAGTAAATAATAAGTCAGTTTCCACATTATCCCAAGGTGATGGTGCAAAATATATTGCCTTGGGACCATATGCGGATGGTGAATAATAATAATAATCCTGGGAAGTATTAAAAGGTGCTGGGAAATTGTTAAGCTCTGTAGTGGGTAAACCACAGCCCCCTTGGATTCTTTGAGGGAACCCATATGCTTTAAATGTGCTTCAAATGTGCTTGAATGTACTGTATTGGCCCGAATATAAGCCACACTTCCCCCCCAAGTTCTGACCATGAAAAGTTAAAGTGCGGCTTAAATTTGTGACCTTACAAAAATTGGCTTTCACGAAACAGAACATAAAAACATTTTATTGCCGATTTGCAAGCTTGAGACTGTTGTGCAGTTAATTCTAATGTCATTCATCACTTTACAGTGCAGTATTGATTTTTTATTTGCATTTAATTTGCATTTATGGTGCTACGAACAGGTGTTTAACCCATTTGTGGGTCCTTTCTAGTATGCATAAGATTTTCTTCTACATTTGCCATTTAGGGGTGTGAGTGCCTGCAGAACTTTAAGGGAGCAGCTTATATTCGGATATTGTCTTTTTTTCTTTCCTCCCGTTGAATTTTAAAGGTGCGGCTTATATTCGGGTGAGGCTTATCTTTGGGCCAATACAGTATGGTGAGGATGTGAATAACATGGGCTCAACCAATTCGATCCTTCTGGCTTTTGATTCAAGATGAAATATTTTGAGAGATGTCCTGATGCCTAATGGGGGGTGGAAACCAGACTCTGCCTTTTTGTTTTGCAACTTCTTGCTCCATTGCAGCAGATGGTCTCAAAGAGGGAGTAAGATCTAGAGTGTTGCAAGGAGGCAGATCAGGAAGATAAATTATTACACCTCAACCACTTCCCCTTTTCCTGTGCTGAGCAAGCTTTGCATCCGGGCTCTCTTGGTGCTGGTCTGGCTCTCTGGTGAGCTGCAGCAGCGTTTCATCTGCAGCATCTTATCTTGCGCTGATGTCCACAGCAGGAGTGATATAATCAGTAGATGGATTATAGCAGCTTAAGAGTGTTATATTGATTAAATGCTTATACCTGAAGGAGCGTCTCCACCACCATCGTCAGCCCCACTGAGGTCCATCTCAGAGGACCTTCTGGTGGTTCCCTCCTGCGAGAAGTGAGGTTACAGGGAACCGGGCAGAGGCCTTCTCGTAGTGGTGCCTGCCTATGGAATGCCCTCCCAGCAGATGTCAAGGCAATAAGCAACATTTTACTTTTAAAAGAAACTGTTTAGGGAAGTTTTTAATGTTTGATGCTCTACTTGTTTTTAATATTTGGTTGAAAGCCGCCCAGAGTGGCTGGGTTAATAATAATAATAATAATAATAATAGAATGTTGAATCTTCTAATGGATTTGGTATTATGGCTGCTGCGTACACAACATTTAAAGCCCCTCTCCAGGAATCTTGGGAACTGTGGTTTAATCCTTCAGAGCAAGCTACAATTCATGGAATCATAGAATCATAAGAGTTGGAATGGACCCCGAGGGTCATCTAGTCCAACTCCCCTTCAATGCAGGAATCTCAAATAAGGCATCCATGACAGATGGCCATCCAACCTCCTTAAGTAAATAATTCAAAGGTACTATAGGATAGTTACATCTCAAAACACATCTTACAACATCCAATCTCCAGTCATGATCACAAACCGATGCCTTTCTTAGAATCACAGAATTGGAAAGTTGGAAGGGAACCCAAAGGTTTCTAGTCCAACCCCCTGCAATGCAGGAATCACAGGTAAGAATTCCTAATAGGTGGCCATCCAATCTCTGTTTAAAAACCTCCCAGTGAAGGTGAGTCCACCATCTTCTGAGCGAGTCTCACTGCTGAACAACTCTTACCATCATTCTTCATTCAGAACACTCCAGCAGTTTCCTAGTCATTTGGAGATATTTGCCTGCAATTTTCCCAAGCAAAAGTTGGGGTCAAAGTAGCTTGGCTGTGGGCCTTTAAGGGAGATGAATTGGTCACTTGCTATCCAAACTGGACCTTACCCAGTCACCGTGGTATAAATTGGGGTGTGTGTGTGTAATGCAGCATGTGAAATTTACATGTATGTAAATTAGGGATGGGGTGTGGGAGAAAATTGATTCACACTTAAAGGTGAAATCACCTAATTTCCAAAGTAATAAATGAAAACACAGCCATCTTTTGAAATTTGTGCTTCTCTGAAGTTTGCAGTTCAGTTCTCGTCACGCAATGTACACAAAAATGCATATAACCTGGGTAAAATGTGCATATTAATGCATATAGCAGAGAAAAGAACAAGCAAAAATACATGTTTATTAGGGGGAAATGCTTTGCAAAAATATGTATCTTTAGAGAAATTTGCACAGAAATGCTGGTGAGTTTTCATGAGGCTCAGGATTCCAATTCTGAGCAATTTGCAATCCCATGTACGTCTATTTGGAAATAAATTCCTACTAGTTGCCTAGGGAAGCAGGTGGTGCTGTGGTCTAAACCACAGAGTCTAAAGCTTGCTGATCAGAAGGTTGGCGGTTCGAACCCTCGCGACGGGGTGAGCTCCCGTAGCTCGGTCCCCTGCTCTGCCAACCTAGCAGTTCGAAAGCACATCAAAGTGCAAGTAGATAAATAGGTACTGCTCCGGCGGGAAGGTAAACGGCGTTTCGTGCAGTGCTCTGGTTCGCCAGAAGTGGCTTAGTCATGCTGGCCACATGACTGGAAGCTGTACGCCGGTTCCCTCGGCCAATAAAGTGAGATGAGTGCCACAACCCCAGAGTCATCTGTGACTGGACCTAATGGTCAGGGATCCCTTTACCTTACCTTTAGTCAGTGCCTCCTGAGCATGACGGCTATGTTCTCCTTCACTGTTGGAGGCAGTGTGCCTTTGAACACCTGTTTCTGGGGCTTCCAAGTGGGGAGAGTTGCTCTTGTGCTCAAGTCCCACTTGTGGTCTTCCATAAATATCTGGTCAGCCACTGTGAGGAAATCACTTTGCCCTCCCATTGAAATTGTAATTGCTAGGGATTTTTAACTGCATGCTCATTATTCAAACTACAACTCCCAGGAAACTTTGTGGGAAGCCATAGCAGTTAAAGGGGTATACAGAACAACATCATTTTGCAATGCGTATCTGCTGAGTAGAGAGAGAAAGGGTATTGTGGGTGACTTCATTCTGCAAACATTTTGGAGTTCCTGTTTGTACATATTAGGAACAGAAAGTATAGTTTGTTTTGAAACAAGTAGACAGATCATGAACTACTCATTGTCTGAGGAGTTCCTCTCTTTTAGAAAGAAAATGCCCCTTTCCTTCACCTTCTGAAGACAAGATAGCTGTTTTTAAAGACACTTGAAGGTTGTCACCCCACGTTCATGTTCAGTAAGCTGGTTTTTTGACAGTGGGGATAAAAGGAATGTGTTTAAATCAGGTGTGTTTTGTGCATGCTTATAGAAATGCAAAGCGATTCTTCTCTCAAAACACCTTAGTTAGTAAGAAAGGACCTGACCTGGTAGAAGTGTATAAAATAATGGAGGAAATGGATAGAGAAAAGCTCTTCTCCCTCTCTCAAAACACTAGAACTTGTGGACGTCCAATAAAGAATGTTTGGAAGATTCACGACAGGCAAATTGAAGTGTGTCTTAACACAGCATGTAGTGAAATTACAGAACTTGCTCCTACAAGATATACTCTTGGATGGCTTTAGAGGAGGTTTTGAAGAGAAGGCAAATCATGGATACTAGCCCATGATTGCTGTATACTATCTCTACTGTGGAAGGCTGTATGTTTCTGAATGCCTTGGCCTGATCCAGCAGAGCTCCTCTTATGTTCTTGAGTGTATCAATCAAGGTCCAAGCTTGAGACCCTTAAAAATGACATTGAGTGCTCAGAAGAAGTAGAAAAAGAAGAAGCATGTAAGGTAAATTGGCACAGACCTCCTTGTTTCTTTACACCAATTTATTGTGCCTCCAAGACTCAGGCTTTCAAAAAGAAAAAAGAAAAGAAGAGACTCTTCTGTATTGTGATGGCAGATATAAATGGGTGGATGGAACGGAGGACATGGAGCTTGACTTAAGATGGCTGGTGTTGGGAGAGAGGAAGGGGCACAGCAGGCACTGGACTGGGGTACAGAGCTCTCTAGGGCCACCAGACTCCCAGACCCCAGCCACTGGGAGGCATGCCCAGGCTCTCACTCATTTCTGAGTGTGGCAGATGCTGCCCACATTTCCCCCCGTTTTACTTGGTGAACTACAAGGGCAGAGAAGTTGCATTTGGAAACCAATCAGGCGGCTAGGATTCCAGACTTGGTGCCAGATCCCGTGTTTATGCTGAAGTTATGACACTTCCGTTCCAGCAAGCTTATACCCGGAGGCAATATGGGTGTCTTTTCGAATGGGCTAGGGATGTGGCTCACACACTTTGGGGACATTTAAAGAGAGGCCATGGCTTGGTGTGTCTATAAAGTAAGAGCTGACTAGGTTTGGTGGTGCCGATAACTTCTTCCCAGGGTTGACTACGGCCCTTCTGGTTCTGGAGTGTAGATGACCAAGGGTTGGCTGTTCCTGCCCTTATCGTGCCAGCAGACATCAAAGAAGGGGTAGACAGTGCCCGTGAAGCGCTCGTGGAAGGCAAACATGGGAACCAAGTTGTCTTCATCACTGGCATCATAGAAGGCAAGGATGCCGTCATCAAAGCTCAGGTAGACGCCGATACGGCAGGGCTTCCCCTCCAGCTTCAGCGACTGTGGGTCCTTGTGTTCCACATGGGCCCTCGTATGTCTTGCCTTCCTTGCAGCCCACCAGCCAAAAGCCATTGGAGGGGGTGGCATGGAGCCGGCCCTTGCGCCCTGCCTCGGCCGAGATGAGGCCCAGAGCCCAGCGGGGCTTGTCGCTCACTATCACCTCCCAGTAATGCTCGCCTTGCGAGAAGCTCTGGTGCGACACCAGGCAGTTGGACTTATCGAAGCGCTGCGGGTCATCGGTGCTCACGGCTTGCTTGTGCTCCACGCACTCCACTCGCTTGCCGTTCTCGTTCACCACCAGGTTAGCTTGGGCCGTGTCTGGGTCAAAGGTGAGGTTCTCCAAGGCTGGGGAGGAGGAAGAAGGTGAGGTCAGGGGACAAGTGCAGCTATGGACATCTGAAGCTGACTAGCAGGTGCTCTCTGGGGAGATGCTACCAGAGATTGAACCTGGACCTTCTACATGCCAAGCAGATGTGCTACCACTGTGCCATGACTTTTCCCTTCATTTACTTTTCTTAAGGCAAGGAGTAAATCCACAGATGGGATTTCCATGCTTTATTTTTGGAACAAAAATACTTGGAATCATATTGCTCATTTTAATGTGCTAAGTTGCACAATGCACCACAAAGGGATGTTGGTTTTTCGGTTGTGAGGGGAATTTGACTGGTCTTACAGATGCTGCAAGATATGTCATTTCCTTTGCATAGTTTTTCCTGATCAAGATCACCCCTCTCAAAGGTGCTATTAGTGCAGTTTGATGGAGTGGGGGGGGGGAGATGAGCACAATAAATACCTGTTCCCCCTTCTAGTCGCATCTAGGAGGGGAGTCAATGTAGGACAGGGAAACAGCAGGGAATGAGACACCACTGCTGTATGCAGAACTTCAGCCTCCCTTAGCTGCTTTTAGTATTAAAAAGTCAAAGGACGTCCAGTCATGGCACTCTTGATTCACTCCTAAGATTTCTGGTGCTTCAAGGGTAAAGCTGCAGTATCCTGCTGAGTCCCTTTCTCCTTTCACTGATTGGTCAATGTAGAAACCAATGAATGTATGCAGATTTACTGCATTTGCATAATTTATCTGAGCTGCAGGTATCAGCTTCCCCAGGTGTGGAATATGGGTTACCTGGATGCAGTTTTTTAAAAACCTTGTTCAGAAAAGTACACATAGCCTTGTCCAACAGCTCCTCCCTCCTTGGCTCTCTACCTGGCATGAGTGCACGGAACATCTTCCTCCAGACTTGGAACTTGAACTCATCTGAAATGATGGGGAGTTGGATGTCCATGCGAGCAATTGGAGGGGACTCTCCAAGAATCTTCTGCAATCTACAGAAAGGAAAAGAAGGTGTGCATTGGGGGGTGGGGGGAATAGAAATCCAAATTGCCACTCCCCACCTCCAGAAATTCAAGGGCATCGTTTTTCCTCTAAACTTCCACACTGCTATTTTAAAGCTCTGCACCAATGGTTCCCAAATCCCTCCCTGCCATGGACCACTTGAAACTTGCTGAGAGTCTTGGCAGATGACTAAGTTATTTGTCTGCCTGCTGGAGCAACTGTAAAGTGCTGTGCTCAGTGCTGTATGGTTTTTAATTGTATCTTAACTGCTTATTTTATTTCTTGTATTGTACAGTGGTACCTCGGGTTACATACACTTCAGGTTACATACGCTTCAGGTTACACACTCCGCTAACCCAGAAATAGTGCTTCGGGTTAAGAACTTTGCTTCAGGATAACTACAGAAATCGGGCTACGGTGGCGCGGCGACAGCAGGAGGCCCCATTAGCTAAAATGGTGCTTCAGGTTAAGAACAGTTTCAGGTTAAGAATGGACCTCCAGAACGAATTAAGTACGTAACCCGAGGTACCACCATATTGTCATTTGAATTCCATAGAATTCAAATTGTAAGTGAACTTCACACACACATTGAGGACCACCTGAATGAAGCTTGCGAACCATTGATGGTCCCATGGACCACAGTTTGGGAACCCTGCTCTGCTCTGCACAGTTCAGGTTCTGAAGATTTTCAGCAGTGGAAAGAGCATCCCAAAATGCTGGTCAGACAAAGGTTTGCAGAAGTACAAATAAATATAAGTAAAGAAATAGCCAAGAGAGGAAAGCCCTGCAAACAACCAAATGAGGACTGAGCATTCTCACTGGGCACAGAATGCAGTCTCTCTCTCTCTCTCTCTCTCTCTCTCTCTCTCTCTCTCTCTCTCTCTCTCTCTCTGTGTGTGTGTGTGTGTGTGTGTGTTTTAAACAGAGAGTAAGGAGAATGAAACATTTTTGAAGATAGCAGAGCTGGGGGATTGGCTGGCATCCTGAACAAGCACATTCCACACTGCATTCCATTATAATGCAGGTTTCAACACAGTATTCAAGTAAAACAAGTGTAATGCAAAAGAAAACCTGTCATATTGAGGATCAAATTGAACTAGAATGGTGTTCAGATTATTGGAAAGCACCTGAATGTGCTTACATCAAGAAAAAGCAGGGCTTTTTCTTCCTGCAGCACCTCTCAGGTGGGCACCATTGCCATTCTCAGAGAACAAGGGAAGTTTTCATGGTGAGTTCCGGCACCTCTTTTTCTAGAAGAAAAAAGGTGAGTTTTTGTTGCTGTTGTAAAGAGTGGTATGGTGAAAGGTGACTGACTTAATACAAAGCTAGGTTGTCTCACTGTGTTACAGTGGTACCTTGGGTTAAGTACTTAATTTGTTTCGGAGGTCCATTCTTAACCTGAAACTGTTCTTAACCTGAAGCACCACTTTAGTTAATGGGGCTTCCTGCTGCCGCTGCGCGCCCAATTTCTGTTCTTATCCTGAAGCAAAGTTCTTAACCCGAAGCACTATTTCTGGGTTAGCGGAGTGTGTAACCTCAAACGTATGCAACATGAAGCGTATGTAACCCGAGGTACCACTGTATTTATCTACCATTTATTAACAAAGATTAATAAGCCACTTAATGAAAACTGTGTCTTATCTGCACAAGAGCAGTCATTGGCATTTCATGGATGGCATATTTCTGAATGGTTTGATCCTAACATAGGAACAGAGGGTCCCAGGAGGTCTGGAGGAATGTTATATATGTGGAGTGAAGGTCTTGTTCTGCTCATGAGGAGGTGGGTGAGGGCAGGACAGGGTCAGGTCAAGCTTAGGCAGAGCTCAGGGTTTAGAAAGGGACAGCTGCTCACCTGCTGGCCACCATACAGTATTTCTGCAGAGAAAAGACAGGGAAAAGAAAGAGCTTAGATTAGAATAATAAGAAGCAGCTGCTATGCCCTATTCCAGTAGGTATCAAATTTCTTTCCCCCATGGACCACTTGAAAATTGCTTGAAAAGTCTTGGCAGAGCATTAAATGATTTTTCTGCCTTCTGTAGCAATCACAATGTGCTGTGCTAGGCACTGTATGGTTTTTAATTGTATTTTTCTATTGCTGCTTCATTTCTTACGTTGTTCACTATTGTATTAAGGAAATACAAGAAAAGAAAAGAAAAGAAAAGAAAAGAAAAGAAAAGAAAAGAAAAGAAAAGAAAAGAAAGAAAAGAAAAGAAAAGAAAAGAAAAGAAAGCAGCAATAAAAGCACAATGAAAAATCAGCAATGTTTTAATTTCATTTGTTTATGTAATGCAATTTTTATACACCATATAAAATAAAAACATTAAAATCCTTGATCATGTGAGGGTGGGTGTATTTCAGGGAGAAATCATAGGGGGAAAGATAAAATTGGTACCTGGGGGTTCTAGGATGGGGGTGGGAAGTTCAGTATTTTGGAACTATGAATTATGTAACCCAATTATGTATGCCTTCCCCACAAGCCCCAATGTTTCAAGTTTCCTTTTCTAAACATGATACCAACTAGGATTTCAGATGGAGACTCTGGATGACTTGTGGGAAGTGGCAGAATGAGGTGCTGCTTGGCTGCTATTCCAACATTTTTAATTGTAGTCTTAGGCTGAAATGGGGAGAGGTTTCGTTCCTCTAAACTGGAGGTGATACAAAACTGGGGAGCGTAAGGGAGGATTCTGCAAACACTACAAAGGACAGTCTTGATGATCTGTAGTATTGGATCAAATATCTAATAGCTAGATAAGGGTAAAAGATGCAGTAAACATAATAGTAAAGATGGAACCCATGGAGGGATGGAGGGGGGGGTCTAAGAGTTCGAAAGAACTCTGTATTTTGTTGATTGAAAATGTTATGTTTTATATGTATAAAAATGTTTTCCCCCAAAAAAACCTAATAACAAAATTATATAAAAAAACAAATAAAAGCGGACAAGGAAAAGAATGTCCAATTGCATAAGCGGTGTAGGAATTGCATATATGTAGTGACTCATTAGCACTATGACCAAAAAAAAGAGAGAAAAAGTCAGGGATGAGGACCTTTGTGGCCCTGAAGAGCCTCACCCTGAGAAACTCCGTCTGTGGTTCGTCTTGCACCTCTCTCAGCACGACCTCCATCTGCCTGAGCTGGTCCAGGTAGCGGTTCATGGTCTTGCTCTCGTTCTGCAAGGCGTCTGTGGCCTGGTGCTGCACCCGCTCTGCCTCCCGGCCCAGAGAGGCCTCCAGCGCCCCCAGGAAGGCTCGCATCACCCCCAGCTGTTCGGACACTTGATGCTTGAAGCGCGACACCGTCTCCTGGGAAAGGAGAAAGAGGGCTCCTGGGATCACTTCTGCACTTCGTGCCCTAGTCTTTGGCATTTTCTTCCCGCCAAATAGTAGCCTTCGTTTTATCTTGGGTTCTCGCTCAGCTTTGTATCATTCTTTCCCAGCATCCTCTTTGGCATGAAATGAAACCCCATGCAGCCTCCCTCGCAAATCCCGTGGTGTTTAGGTTAGCTGTCGAGGTGGTAGTTTACTCAGGAGGAAATTGAGTTGTGGAGACTTAAATGACTTAATTAATAAAGATATTTAAGGCTGTGTACATGCCTTAAAGCACATCTGCCCTCAAGAATCCTGGAAACTGTAGTTTGTTAAGGGTGATGAGAATTGTAGCTCTGTGAAGAGTAACTACAGTTCCCAATATTCTTTCTTCAGGGCTTTCTCTCCACATGAGGAAACATAATTTTCAGGCTGGGAATTGAGTGTTAACTGGCCCTCACAGAACTAACAATCCCTTCTTCACCAGTGAGCAGTTAGGAAAAATAGGCAGGATTTTATCAAACAAGTCTTCCCAAATATTCTGATTAAATGTACTTTGGGCACACATCAACCCTACAAAGTGGCTTCATAGCCATTCCTTACTTCCCAGGAGACCACTAGGAATTGTAGTTTTGTGAGTAGAGCCAATCAGAAGTCCCAGGGAGACTTGACCACTTCCAGGTTTTCTAGCTTCTAGCTGAAAGTGTGTGTCACAAAAGCAAGTTGTGAACCTTTTCAAATGCCCCCCCTCCCATTGGCAAGTGTCTAAATTTGAGGCCTCCTTTGAGTTTGGAGCTCAGGTCAAATGGCCCTCCTGCTCTCCTCCTCTGATTGGCCCTGTCTGTGAGGAGCAGATGGGGATCTCCCACAGACAAGGCCAACACAAGGCATTTTGCTGCCTGAGGCAAAGGACAATATGGTGGCCACCCCTTCCACATACAGACGATAACTGGTCTGTCAGCTGAATATTACGCCAACCCCAACAATGGGAGAACACCTTCCAGAGCACCTGAGGGCAGCAGGCGAATTAGTGGCTGTAGAACATGCCATTTGGTACACATATCTCAATCTAAGCACCTGCTGCCTGAGGCACTTGCCTCACTCTGCCCTATGATGCGGCCGGCCCCGGCCACAGAGGATTATTGGGACTCCTACGGAAATCCAAATCTCAAGATTCTTTGTGGGGAAGTCATGTTAGTTAACCCTGTAAAAAAAACAAACCTCTGATATGTTGGTAGATTAAATGTGTCCTTACAGATAACTTCACTCACCTCCACTTCTGCTATTTGCCGATTCAGGAGGGCAATTGTCTTCTCCTTGCGGACTTGGGCCTCTTGCAACTGGACTTGTTGCTGAGGAAGCTGCTTCTAAAATTACGCCAAGAAAAGAAAAAGGGGAATAAGGCATGTGGGTCTAATCCAGAGAGGAAACCACTGCTATATCTATCATTTAAAACAAATAGTTATTTAGCTGGATTTCTTTCTCCCACCCTAGTTGCAAACCTGAGAACTCAGGGTGGATCTGGTGGGTAAACCACACAGGTTGTAGCCAATGCTAGATTGACTCAGACCCTTTGAAGTTAATGGGTGTGGTTGCAATTTATTCATTTCACTGGGTCTGCTCTGAGCAGGACTAGAATGAGATGCAAACACCACATTTGGGGCAAAATTCCCATTAAAAACACAAAAATACAGGTCTTAGTTCAGGTACAAAAAATATGCTTTGCATATCTAGCTCAAATCTCTGGCATCTCCAATAGGGCTGGGGAAGATTTCTGTCCAGTTGGGTAGCCAATATGGTGCTCTCCAGATGGTGCTGAACTACAACTCCCATCATCCCTGACCATGCAGGCTGAGCCTGATGTGAGTTGGAGTCTAGCAACATCTGGAGGGCACCATGTTGGCCAGCTCAGGGGCTTTCAACCGCAGGTCTCCAGGTGTTGGTCTACAACTCCCATAATCCTCAGACAGCTTAACTGATGTACAAGGATGATGGGTGTTGTAGTCCAACGTCTGCAGACCATAGGAGAGTTTTGCCACATGATACAGACTCTCCAATTGTCCCTAGTTTCCAGGAACGTCCCTGATTCAGAGAAGCTATCCTGGTTTCTGATTTGATCCTGGAATGTCCCACTATTCCTTAGGATGTCCCTATTTTCATTGGAGAAATGTTGGAGGGTCTGGAGTTATCCGACCCCCCAAGCCGTCTGAAGGCAATCCTGTATAGGGAAGGGTTTTGTTATGTTTAATGTTTTGTTCTGTTTTTAATATGTTGGAAGCTGCCCAGAGTGGCTGGGGCATCCCAGTAAGATGTGTCAGGTATAAATAGTAAAATTATCATTATGGAATGGGATGTCCCTATTTTCATCAGAGAAATGTTGGAGGGTATGCATGATAAACTGCTCAGTTTAAACTGGTTTGTCCACTGGAGTGATTTACAAGACCAGGTAAGTCTGGTGCCAGATAGGAAGGCCTTCAAAAACTGATACCTACCTTCATCCTCTGGTGGGCCTCAGCTGCAGTGATGATGTTGTGTCCTTTGTGTTTGCCCAGGGAAGCGCACACCCCACAGATGACCTGCCGGTCCTGCTCGCAGTACACGCTCAGGGGGTCCAGGTGCTCCTCGCAGTGGTCTCGGGGCACCTGCCGGAAGCTCTCCACCAGGTGCTCCATCTGTTGGTTGATGCACAGCTGTTCCACCTTGGTGATGGCCTGGCAGGTGGGGCACCCTGTGCTCTTGCCATCCTCTTCCTTGGGCACCTTGGACAAGCAATCCTGGCAGAAGGTGTGGCCGCATTCTGCCGTCACGGGAGATTGGAAGAGCTTGAGGCAGATGGGGCAGCTGAGGTCCTGGTGCATGCCCTGAATGAGAGGCTTCTTCGACATGGTGGCGGAAAGAGCAGGAACCTGGGGGCCAAAAGAGCTTGCACTTGAGATTTTGAACCCATGTTCTATTTTATTTCGCTTAACCACACACATACCAGACCGCCAGTGCCTCCTTATTCTCTGCACTGGGGCAGGCACCCACCAGAAATTGGAAATACACTATTATTATTACTACCACTACCACTATTTATTATTTATTTGTTGCATTTATATCTCAGCGTTGCGCTCGAGGTGGCATATATGGTTCTCTCTTTCCTCATTGAATCCCCATGACAACTTTGTGAGGGAGTTTAGGCTGAGACGCAGTGACTTTCTGGCCCAAGGTCACTCTGTGAGCTTCATGGCAGAGTGCAGAATTTGAACCTTGGTCTTTCCCAGGTCCTAGTCCAACGCTCTAACCACTGTACCGCATTGACTCGTTTAGAATTGTTACTGTAACATCACAGTTCTTTTAGGCTGGAGAAGCTTCTGTACAGATTCTGAGGGGAGTTGGAGACTGAGGGAGAGACGGGAGATTCTGGTGAGAGAGACCAGAGAGACTGTGGAGATTATAGTGGCGAGGAAATCAGCCAGAGAAGACAGCAGTGCATCTTCCTCAACCAGAGTATGAGACCTCTACTTCCCAGAGGCTTCCCAGAGTTCCCTGAGAAGAGGGATTTGATTGTTAAACCGCTCTGAGCGTTGTAGCTCTGTGAGGGGAATAGGGACCTCCTAACAACTCTCAGCACCCTTAACAAACCACAGCTCCCAGGGTCCTTTGGAGGAACTCCTTAAAGTGGTATCATGATGCTTTAAATGCATGGTGTGGATGTGACCTTAGTCAATGTTTCTCAAGCTTGGGTCTTCAGCTGCTGTTGGACTACAACTCCCATCATTCCTGACATTCTAGCGAGGGATGGTGGGAGTTGTAGTCCAACAGCAGCTTGGGACCCAACTTTGAGAAGCAGGGTGTGAATTTGTGGGAGAAACCCATTTCAACCCAGGTTCTCCCTGATTCACAGCTCAGTCTCTTAGCAACTGTCCTGCATGATAAAGGCACCCAAAGCTGGTGCCTTTCTCAAAGTGGGAATCCCAGGCTTGTTGCTCAATTGCAGAAGGCTAGTGCAGTTCTTCTGAGCAAGCACCCCGTGATTTCCTTGCTTTCGCCACCTCTTCCTCCCAGGCCCCGTCCTACTCAGGGCTGACTCAGGCTGAACTATTGCAAGCCGGAGAGGAATGTGATGCCTGCAAAGCAGCTGCTGGATAATCTACAGGCCAAGCTGACAAATGCCCTATAAATAGTTCAGAAGGGGAAACTGGCATGGAAACTGGAGCCCTGCTCTGCCTTGTGGTATATTCTTGCATTTCCCGATAAACTGCTTAGCGTTTGTGCTGCTGGTTGTTGTATTGCTCTGGACTGCATGGCACTGTAAATTCGGATCTAGACAATGTAGTTTACATCTGCAGTCTTCAATTTCATCGCCTCTGTGACCGGCTTTTATTTTTCTCCTGCCTTTCGTCTAAGGAGCATGGGCAGCATACACTGTTCTCTCTCTCTCTCTTTGCCCCTTCTCAAGTTTATCAGAACAAGCTGTGTTGTGGGTTAGGCTGAGAGATTGACATTGATTAAGCCAAAGTCACCCAGTGATGACCTTGGGCATTAAGCAGGGATATATGAAGGCTTCCTGAATCTCTGCTCAATTCTCCACACGGCCTCTCAATGAGGGACGCAGGAGAAATGCAGTTTGGTTGGCATTTTAATGCGTGGCTGCCTAATCCACATTTCCTGAAACAATGCATGAACACAGCTAAGCATTGAATGCTGCACTTCTCCAACTTTTCCAACACAGGTCTCCAACCATTGCATTGCATTGCAGGTGCATAGGTAAAGGTAAAGGGACCCCTGACCATTAGGTCCAGTCGTGACCGACTCTGGGGTTGTGGCGCTCATCTCACTTTATTGGCCGAGGGAGCCGGCATTTGTCCGCAGACAGCTTCCGGGTCATGTGGCCAGCATGACTAAGCTGCTTCTGGCGAACCAGAGCAGCACACAGAAACGCCGTTTACCTTCCCACTGGAGCGGTACCTATTTATCTACTTGCACTTTGACGTGCTTTTGAACTGCTAGGTTGGCAGGAGCAGGGACCGAGCAACGGGAGCTCACCCCGTCACGGGGATTCGAACCGCCGACCTTCTGATCGACAAGTCCTAGGCTCTGTGGTTTAACCCATAGCAGGTGTATTATTAGGGGAAGGTGTACATAAACATGCATATATTAGGTAAAATAACACCTATAAATACATTATATGAGGGGGAAATGCATTTTAGTAAAAACATCCTGATGAACTTTCATGATAAGCTAATTCTAGATGGCAATAGAGAAAACATGTGTTTCCTTTTTCAAAGGAATTTGGGCCAAGTTGGATTCAGTGGATTAACCTAAGCCTTGAAAAGCAGAGAGGTCTGAAAGGGGAAGTGGAGAAGAGTGACATTCTTCCTTCTGCAGCTCTGTGTACTTTCTGAGGGATGAAAAAGGAACTGCCCTCACCACCCCATGACAAAGGGGCCAGTGAGTGGGTTATGTGACCAGAGGTTTTGTGGGTACCAGGGGGAGAATTCAATGGCATCGCTGTACCCACGGGCACCATGTTGGCAACCCCTGCTCCATCCCATCCCTGAAAGTGGCACCTTTGGGATGTTATCTTAGCCTTTCAAGGGATGCAAGAAGCCCTCTGAAAGCCTTACCTAGTTTTCCCAAGGATCAAGCATCAGATCCAGCTTTAAGGTATAGACGTCCCAGCTTCAGAGTCCTTCCAAAATTATATTGTAACTCTCCATATCGTGCCTTTCTGCCTAGGACCACCTGGCTCATCTAATCGCCTTTTACAGAACAACCTGCAGCATCCATCTCACCTTTAATTTATGCTTGCAGTGGAGGCCCAGCAATAAATTCAAAAATGGGCGCAAATGCCAGATAGGTACTTGCTGGCTGCAAAGAACAGGGGCTGTGCTGCCCAAGACTTTCGTCTTATCTGCTGCACTCAGCTGGGCAGCATTTGGACTTTTCTCCCCTCCGTCACTCCCTCCCACATTTGAAGAACCTGCAATACCCACCAGGTTTTTTTTTTAATTAAAAATTATCTGTTTAACCAACCCTTAAATAAAACGCCAGCCCAATCCTCTAGCTTTTGGGGATGTATCTGGAACATGGTTAAAGGCATGAAGTAAGAATCAGAAGAGAAAGAAAGAAAAAGAAAGGAAGATCTTACTAGGACAGACAAGCGTTGAAGAGAGGCAGCAGCGTCCAGAGAGGGAACAGCCAGAGATCAGAAAGGCAGCAAGGAGACACCAACCATCCCGGGACGGGCACAGAAGCCAAGTGAATGACCCTTGGTCCCACCCAGTTCTAACTATATATAGCTCTATAGGGCACCGTACTTCTGGGAAGGCTGGGGTGCGGGGGGTGCCCTGGAGGAAAAGGCGGTTGGTGCGTGGGAGGATTCCTCCCCCTCACCAAAGATGCCACTCAAATGACTTGGCCCAAGAATATTCATTTCTTGATGCAGCCTTCTCTGCAGATTCAAGCGGCGGCCTCCTAGAGGCGAATGCCTGACATTGTTGTCATATAAATACATACCGTATTTTTGGGCCTAATAAGACTCATTTTTCTCTCCTAAAAAGTAAGGTGGGAATGTGTGTGCGTCTTATGGATGCGAATGCAGGCTGCGCAGCTATCACAGAAGCCATAACAGCAAGAGGGATTGCTGCTTTCACTGCACAGCGATCCCTCTTGCTGTTCTGGCTTCTGAGATTCAGAATATTTTTTTTCTTGTTTTCCTCCTCCAAAAACTTGGTGCGTCTTGTGGTCTGGTGCGTCTTATAGAGTGAAAAATACGGTAACTCCCTGCTTGTTGCTATGGGGGGAGGGCAAGGGACAGCCCCTTAGTTGCATTCTTGAGTGCATGGAGCAGCTGAGGGCCGGGGAAAGTGGAAGCTCTAGAGTTTCCTAGCAAAGGATATTGCAGACTGACAGGCAACTTGACCATTACATTTGGCATTTGGGGGATTTTCAGGAACAGGCAGAGGGAACTGAGCTGGGTGGAATAAGACATGGGTGGGGGATGAAGCTCGATCTTCTGGGTGAGTCATGGACTGGGTGGTATTTGGGGGTGAACACTGGGTACAGAAGGTGATTAGATGGTGAACCTAAACCACAACTGTGTATCAGGATGGGGTTTTTTTCTGGCCCTGTGGGCAGTGCCGGATTTACATATAAGCTAAACAAGCTATAGCCTAGGGCCCCACTCTCTGGGGGCCCCAAAAAAATTAAAAGGGAAAAAACCTTGATACTTCTTCTCAATTGTATTTCAGTTCAACAATTGCTTTGATATAATACATAGTTTGTTATGTGCAAGTGGCTGTGGACACCTATTAGGTCCATAAATTACCATATAGAATATATTCAACACGAAAAGCAGTGGCAATTTGTTGTTGACAAAGGACAGCTGGACATATAAAGGGCCCCATTACCTTCAGTAGCTTAGGGCCTCATCAAACCTAAATACGGCCTTGCCTGTGGGCCAACTTTGTGTTGTCCCACCCACCTGTCAAAATCTCAGACGTGGAGTTCCCATGCTTGGGAACGGCAGCACAAGAGGCCTTGCCAACCTGACAGTTGGCATGCCAGTTTGTGTTGCTCCTTTCAACCTCTGATTCTGGTGGCTTCAAAAAAAGAAGCTCCGTGAGGGAGAAATTGCTTCCACTGCATGGAAACTGCTCCCTGCCGACTTGAGAATGGTGCCCTTCTACCAACCATCCGCTGACAGGCAGTTGGGAGTGGGCCCTGCTCCAGCAAAGGGTCAATTGGGAAGCCACTTTGTCTGGATGGTTCCCTTGAAGCCCTGCCCTTACCTGCCCCACACCTGACATAACATTTGACATCAGGTGTAGTGTGGGGGAAGTGGCTTCCCAAAAGCAGCCTGGTGGGCCATGTTTGGAGATTCCCTGCCCCTGCTGTTATCACTTCAGACTAAAAATGGAGGCCCAGGTGTGTTCTGGTCCAGGTTTGCCAGGGAGAAAAGGTTCCAGCCCAGGCATCACCCTGGCATCTCTGTTTTCCAGAAGCACTGCCTGCAATCTGAAGTGGCACAGCACTGACACAATTTTACATGATCCCCTCCTCCTCCAGGGACCTTACAAGGACCCTGCAAGAAAAGTTAGGAAGATTGGTGTCTTAGTAGTTGCGGTCCAAGCTTCAGGTCTAGTGAGGAATCTTTGAAGGAATGGGGCCATGACCCTGAGCCTTAAATCTGAAATCCTGTCTCCCTCTCAACTGCAGTGCAGAGTGATTAACCACCCAGCATCTTTTGGTACCATAGGCCAGGGTCAGCAAGGTTTATCTTGCCTGGGCCAGATTGGTCCTGCAGAGATCCCTCCGTGGGCTGGATCGCGTAATTTCTGGTGCTGCGGAAGCGAGTCCCCATGCCTCGCCAGTTTAGCGCAGTGCGCGAGCGGGCAACTCAGTTCGGGGGCGACTCATGGGGTGGTCAAACGAACTCCGCGGGCCACTTCTGGCCCATGGGCCTTAGGTTGCTGACCCCTGCCATAGGCTATGCAGCCTTCCATGCTGCCACCCAACTGCAAACTTTGTCAAGCTCTTCCCTTGAAGCAGCCCTACAGAGGCACCTAGTGGCTGACTTGCGGCGCCTCCTCACTTCCTGGCTGGGTTTATTTCTAGATGGCCTGTTCTGGATGAATGCGTAATGACTTGTTTGCTGGGAGATTGGACAGTGCTGGCTGTTGAATGAGCATTGAGTAGGCTAAGCAAATCAGTCTCTTAAGCTTAAGCCAAGAAAGAGTATTCTCTATAAGATTGAGTATCAATATACATATCAAGACTTTGAGATTAGGCCGCTGAAGAAGCCTGGAAAACTATCTTGGGAGTGTGCTACCTGAAAGCCCCGGTAAAAGGGCTCCATTGGGGGCGGACAGCGGCCTCTTGATTATTTGGACTGCCAGGGCGAAACAGGTGCAAAACGCCAGCACCCTGTCGTCTACAACTTTATTGTCTACAACTCCACTAGCATCTCTCGGTATTGTGAATAACACCGAACTTATCTTTGGTTGGTATGTTCATGAACTTATCTAAAAGACTGAGTTAAGCATTTGAAAAATCTATTGAAACCAGACATTATAAGTTCATCTTAGGTTGGGTAGTTCGCAAGTCTCTGTGGCTTTGTTTAATGTTTGTATTTTTCCTCAGAAGGTTGATAAAGTATGTATAATTATGTATAATTATTGTTCTGTGTTGCATGAGTGTTGCATGAGTCACACTACTGCTATTGAAAGAGCATTGGCTTCTGATTTGTTTGTGGAGAGGTGAGATGACTTTGCATCCAAGTAAGTCCTATCCCACACTTTCCAACACATTTCCCCTTCACTTTCCTTATCACAAAAAGTCTGGTCATTGGGGGAAGCGGATTGATTGCACAGGACCTCCCAGTCAACTGTCATTCCACAACCTGAAATTGCTGATATGTGATTGCATCCCACCCGAAAATAGCAACAGTCTGGAAGCACCCTGAGTCGGCAGCATTCCCCTATTAGCCTGGTTTCCAGGAAACGTTTGCACAAAGATGACTCCAGAGCAGAGCCAAGAGGTGTGTCAGTGTAATATTAGGTTTGAAGAAACAAAACATCTGCTCAAAGGGGCAAAAACCATGAGACCACTGGATGGAAGAATGGTTTTAATTGCAACTGCTTTTAGAATGTTGTTGTTTTTAAAAATTTTATCTGTTTTTTATTTTATTTTTTAATTGTAATTGCTTTTAGAATGCTTTAACTGTTTTAGAATGTTTGGTTTTGGTTTTTAAATTGTGTACCTGGGTAAGGTGATTGAGAGAGCGGTTGCTGAACAGCTTGGTAGGTTTCTGGATGAAACATCTGCTTTGGATCCATTCCAGTCCGGCTTCCGTGCTGGTCATGGGACCGAGACGGCTCTGGTCGCCCTAACAGATGATCTCCGCAGGCAGCTGGATCGAGGCGGGTCGGGGCTGCTGATTCTTCTAGATCTGTCAGCAGCCTTTGACATGGTGGATCACGAACTCCTGGACCACCGCCTTGCCGACGTGGGGATCCAGGGCACAGTCCTTCAATGGCTGCGCTCGTTTCTCTCTGATCGGGGACAGAGGGTGGTGCTTGGGGGGAATTGTCATCGCGTCACTCCTTGGTGTGTGGAGTGCCTCAGGGTGCGATTCTCTCCCCAATGCTTTTTAACATCTTTATGCGCCCCCTCGCCCAGCTTGTCCGGAGTTTTGGGCTGGGTTGCCACCAGTATGCTGATGACACCCAACTCTATCTGTTGATGGATGGCCATCCTAACTCGGCCCCAGACACACTGACCAGATGTCTGGAAGCTGTGGCTGGATGGTTACGTGGGAGCCGGTTGAAGTTAAATCCTTCGAAGACAGAGGTCCTCTGGCTGGGGCGGGACGATATGGGATCGAGGGGGCAACTCCCATCTCTTGCGGGGGTGCAATTAGTGCCAGCACCGTCCGTTAAGAGTTTGGGTGTAATCTTCGATACCTCCCTTTCTATGGAGGCGCAGATTACAGCTATAACAAAGGCGGCATTTTTCCATCTCCGCCAAGCTAAGCAGTTGGCCCCTTATCTCTCTCGCCCTGACCTAGCCACTGTGATCCATGCGACGGTCACCTCCAGACTGGATTATTGTAACTCGCTCTACGTGGGGCTGCCCTTGAGACTGACCCAGAAACTCCAGCGGGTGCAGAATGCCGCAGCGAGACTCCTTACGGGGTCTTCGCTGCGGGATCACATTCACCCGGTGCTATACCAGCTGCACTGGCTCCCGGTGGAGTACAGGATCAGGTTTAAGGTGCTGGTTTTAACCTTTAAAGCCCTATACGGCCTAGGACCCTCGTACCTACGGGACCGCCTCTCCTGGTATGCCCCACAGAGAAACCTACGGTCTACAAATAATAACACCCTCAAGGTCCCAGGCCTCAGAGAGGTTAGGCTGGCCTCAACTAGAGCCAGGGCCTTCTCGGCTGCAGCTCCAACCTGGTGGAATGCTCTGTCACAAGAGACTAGGGCCCTGCGGGATCTGACATCTTTCCGCAGGGCCTGCAAGACAGAGTTGTTCCGCCAAGCTTTTGGTCAGGGCGCAGCCTGACTCCCTCCTCCGGCAACCTGCACAGAATTTTGTTTAATCGGTTGCCATCAATTTGATTTTAACTAATTTTTATAACGAAATATTTTTAGAATGTGCTATTATTTGATTGTTATTTGACTGTTGTTAGCCGCCCTGAGCCCGGCTCGGCTGGGGAGGGCGGGATATAAATAAAATTTATTATTATTATTATTATTATTATTACCTGCTGTCCTGGGCTCCTTGGGAAGGAAGGGCAGGATATAAATTCAATAAATAATAATAAATATTTAGTATCAGACAGTCAAACGTTCTGCTCGAATGGGTGATATACTTGGTTCAGATAAACAAAAGATCTGTTCAAATGGGCCTGACCAATCACTCACCTAGTTCAGCATTTTCTACAAGGAAAGCCATTACAGGAATAGCAACAAGGATCTGGAGTCGCCTTAAAGAGCAACATATTCATTATGGCATAAGCTTTCATGGGTCCACTTCATCAGATGAATGAAGCATTAACCTCAGTTCGTGGTAGTATCTGTGCAATGTGCATGCAGGTGGGAAAGTGGAGTGAAGTGCCAATGAAATGCAAAAAGGACAGCCTGTAGCAAGTCAGCCAGAGGTGGGTTCTCCATCCCTGAATCAGTGCTATGAAGAATAAGAAGAATAAGACCATAATTCTTCTCTTGGAGAAAGGCAGCTTTCAAGTCACCAGTAACCTGAAATGTTCTTCTATTGGTTTGTGAATATTTCTGATTTTTTTCTACTGTCAGATGTGTGTTCGTTTAGTCCAGCAAGGTAGGACTTTGAGGCAGATGCCCAGAAGCCCACCACAGTGGAATGACCAGGAGGGACCCCAAAAGCAGGGTCCTGGCTTGCCACATTTTAAAGTCCGTGCACTGATACCCTTTGCCATCTCAAGGGAGCTCCTGTCCCCCCTCCCCCCGTGAGAATATTAGGCCCTATCTACACCATGGTTAGTGCAGGCAGAGAGGCTGCCTGAGCAACCTCACATTATGCGGGAGGTTCCAGCTCCTTCAAGCTAGGAAACTAGCCAGGATTCGGCCCTGGTAGCACTGGGAAAGGAGGCTAAAGGCAGCGTGCTAGGACTGCGCTACCTCCATCTGGCCACTCGAGGGCACTCCTGTACAGTATAAGTAATCGTTCTTGCACCTGCTGCTAAGCACCAAAAACCCAGAATGCCAAAGGTTGTTTTGCGTGGAAAAGGAAAGAATTTTCCTTATTTTATGCATGAAAAAATTAGAAAGTCAGCTTGACCTTCAGGTTTCTGTTTGAGAAAAAGAGATCGTGGTTAGAGATTTTGCAATCTTGCTGACAGGTTGGAGGAGCTCCCTCCAGCTCTGCGATCCTTTGTGAGATCTACCCCATCTAAAAACCTCTGAAAGAAGCCCAATAATTATAGCCTCTGACGCCTCCTTTCTCCTACACAAGCATTCAAAATGCTTTACTTAATTAAGCTGGAACAGCTCTTAAATGGTTTACCTGCTTGCTAGCCAAGGCAGGCTGCAGGGAGGCAAATGAACCCCATAATTCCTAAGTCAAGTATAGTGGTACCTCGGGTTAAGTACCTAATTCGTCCCGGAGGTCCGTACTTAACCTGAAACTGTTCTTAACCTGAAGCACCACTTTAGCTAATGGGGCCTCCTGCTGCTGCCGCGCCGCTGGAGCACGATTTCTGTTCTCATCCTGAAGCAAAGTTCTTAACCCGAGGTACTAGTTCTGGGTTAGCGGAGTCTGTAACCTGAAGCGTATGTAACCCAAGGTACCACTGTACACAAAAGTTTCTTAGGTCTTTTTAAACCGGGGGGTGGTTCGGCCCGCCTCCTCCTGCGGCTATTGAAATACAAGCTCGCCCTATCAAACAGCTCATCTCAACTTAGCCAGCAGGAGTCACGTGTTGCAAACAAAAAACAGGATCGCGAAAGGCAGAAGCGAAAGCGCCGGGTGAGCAAACGGACACGGATGCATTTGCTTGCTTTTGCTCAGTGCTCGCCTCTTTCTCAGCGCGGAAAGGAAGCGGCGGCAGCTCCTCGTCCGGCTCCTCCCTCTTCCTCGGAGGACGGAAACGGATCCTGGGCGATCCTGGGCCTCCTTCCTTGGGTCTCCCCGGCGCGCGCTCGGGCTGAAGGGGCGCGATGGCCAAGAGCGCCCGGCAGCGCCTGATGGACGCCCTGGAGAACTTGCACGACGGCGAGCTGCGCAAGTTCAAGGCGAAGGTGGCCGAGATCCCGCTCGAGGAAAGCCACGAGCACATCCCCCGAGGGCGGCTGGAGAAGGCGGACGCGGTGGATCTGTCCCGTCTGCTGATCAGCTACTACAAGCAGGATTACGCCCTGCGCCTCACCGCGCAGGTCTTGGAAGAGATCAACTGCAAGGACCAGGCGCAGAAGCTCCGCGGAGGCGGCGAGAAGAGTAAGGGAGGAGGGGGAGGCCTGGCCGGGAGACAAGCGTGGATCCGGATCATCTCATTGGACGAGGGGAAGGGAGGCGGGGGGGGGGACTTTCCCAGCTTCTCTTTCAGGTCCGTCCCGATCAACTCATCAGGAGTTAGTCCGAGGAGCTCTTTCTTCAAGGTCTAGTGAGGTGCCTCTGAAATATTAGGTACACTTTTACAAGGAAAGCCACATAAAGAGGGGGAGGAGTGATTTTGAAATCAGCAGATCCTCACCACGTATCTTCTTCCTCGCTACCATAATAATAATAATAATAATAATAATAATAATAATAATAATAATTTTATTATTTATACCCCGCCCATCTGGCAGGGTTTCCCCAGCCACTCTGGGTGGCTTCCAGCACATATAAAAATGTAAGATAACATCAAACATTAAAAGCTTCCTGATATAGGGCTGCCTTCAGACGCGTTCTAAAAATTGTGTAGTTCTTTATTTCCTTGACCTCATTTGGTAGGGCATTCCACAGGGAGGGTTCCACTGTGGAGCAGGCAGTACCACCCCAATATGGAAATTAAATCCTATTTGGAAATCGTACCTAATATATTTCTCAATCACTCAATTCTGTCCACAGAGGGCTTTTCTTTTCAGTAATGTTACAAATTAAAACTTAAAACCACAGGACTGTCAAAACACATCCACCCATGCCACGTGTCTTGGCATACTTGTCCTGCAGACTGGAAGCTATGATCTTCTTTCCACTTTTATCCATTTGGAAGTATTTCAAAATTCCCACAGAATAAATGCAAATAGCAGGTCTTAAATATCTTACTATTTTCCGTTGCATCCTCTGTGCATCTTTACATCACCTTCATTTTAGATGGCTGCCTCTCAGCTGTTGTATTTTTCTCCTTTCTACATTTCCAAAAATTAGTTTCCTGATATTTAGTGGCCTTATAATCATGAAAGGGTTGCTCGTTTCATGCATCTAAAAATCACATCCGTTGAAATGCAGAGATGGTGTTATGCTTCTGTTAAATGGGTGGAAATGTTTCCAGTTCCATCCATTCCTGATTATGGTTGGAGCTGGTTTGGCGGGCCCAGAGGTACCTTTGGTGGAACTGCCCTGCCATCAAGAGTTTTGGGGTAAAAATCTAATGAGGTATCAGAAAGAAAACATTTTTAATTTTGTCTATAATAATGAATGATGTTTGTGAAACTCAGAACATCAACTCTCTTTTCTGTTCCAGCTGCTTGCTGTAACCCTCAGATCCCTGTGCCTTCCACCAGTACCACCTCTGGAAGAAATGGTGAGCTCCAGCCTCTATCTTCTTAAATATTGTCCGTCCCCCATCAACATCCATAAGCTAACCTCCAGGTCTCTGCTAGGTGTTGGCCTTTGCTCCAGCCTGCAGTAATCCTCTCACTTAAGCCAGATCCACACTACAGTGGTACCTCAGGTTACATATGCTTCAGGTTACAGACTCTGCTAGCCCAGAAATATTACATCAGGTTAAGAACTTTGCTTCAGGATGAGAACAGAAATCGTGCAGCAGCGGCGCTGCGGCAGCAGGAGGCCCCATTAGCTAAAGTGGTGCTTCAGGTTAAGAACAGTTTCAGGTTAAGAACAGACCTCCAGAATGAATTAAGTTCTTAACCCGAGGTACCACTGTACTGCAAATGCCTGTCAATTTCATGCTGCTTTAATTGTCCAGGCTTCCCACACACACACAAAATGGGAATAGTCGTTTGCAGTAAGCCATACTTAGCCATGGAAAAAGCAAAGGCAGCTGTGTCTGTATTCTTTACTTAGCCAATGGCAAGAGCTTTCCTTAGGAAAATGAGGAGAGCTCACCAGGATATTGCAGAGAGGAGCAAGGCAGACGCACATAAAATACAAAGAGGAATGTACTCTGCTGCTAACTCACTAGCATGAGTGAGGAAGGGTAACATTTCATCAATATATCCTCTTCTACTAGCCACAACATTCCCACAGATTCCACATACAGTGGTACCTCAGGTTAAGTACTTAATTTGTTCTGGAGGTCTGTTCTTAACCTGAAGCACCACTTTAGCTAATGGGGCCTCCCGATGCTGCTGGACTGCCGGAGCATGATTTCTGTTCTCATCCTGAAGCAAAGTTCTTAACCTGAGGTAATATTTCTGGGTTAGCGGAGTCTGTAACCTGAAGCGTATGTAACCTGAAGCGTATGTAACCCGAGGTACCACTGTACACAGGAACAACACAAGAATCTGCCTCGTGTAGAGTCAACCCTTAGGCCCATCTAGCTTGGTACTGTCTACCCTGACTAGCTTTCCCACTGCTACTTGGATATGCTAGAGATTGAATCTGGGACCTTCTGCATCCCCTGCAGATGCTCCGCCGCTGAGCTGTGGCCCTTCCCCCGCCTGTGCACACCCTTAAGGATCCCATAGTCTTCCCTCACAGAGAGGACAAGTGTAAATGTCTGGTGTGTGGCTGGATCCCTTGATTCTGGTTCTTCCTTTGGCAGAGACACAGCCTCCAGCTCCACCGGAGCAGCATTTCATTGAGCGGCACCGGGAGGCCCTGATCCAGAGGACGGCCACCGTGGAGGGGATCCTGGACGTGCTGCTGCGTGACGATGTCCTGGATGATGAGCAGTACCAAAAGATCTCCGCCAAAAGCACCAGCCAGGAAAAAATGCGGGAACTCTTCAGGTTGCTGCCCAGCTGGAACCAAGCTTGCAAGGATAAGCTGTACGAGGCCCTGAAGATGAAAAACAAGTTCCTCGTTGCCGACCTGGAAGGATAAAGAGGCAGCCAAGGCACAACCCCATTCTGCGGCACAGGAATTCCGCCTCGGCATGTCAGGGGACTACCTTGAAGCCATGTACAGTGGTGCCTCGCAAGACGAAATTAATTCGTTCCGCAAGTTTTTTCTTCTTGCGAGTTTTTCGTCTTGTGAAGCACGGTTTCCCATAGGAATGCATTGAAAATCAATCAATGCGTTCCTATGGAAACCGCCTTCAGACCAGGTCCGGGGACAGTCTGTCCCCCGACCTCTTCTGAAGGCTGGGGGGGAGGGACAAGGGCTTTTCTTCCCACCGCCAGCCTTCAGAAGGTTGTTCTGAAGGCTGGCGGTGGGAAGAAAAGCCCTTCTCCCCACCTCCCGCCCCACAAGCTCCGGGGACAGGAGCGCTTTGCTGCCGACTGCCAGCATTTTAAAAGCCCCCGCTGTCCCGGGGCGATTTTAAAATGCTGGCGGGCGGCAGTGAAGGCTTTGCTGCCGCCCACCAGCATTTTAAGATCGCCCGGGACAGCGGAGGCTTCGCTGCCGCCTGCCAGCGGACCTCTTCTGAAGGCCGGCGGTGGGCGAAAGTCTTTGCTCCCGACCGCCAGCATTTTAAAAGAGGTCCCCAGAGATTTCCCTATGGGCTTTCTTCTTGCGAAGCAAGCCCATAGGGAAATTCGTCTTGCGGAACGACTCAAAAACGGAAAACTCTTTCGTCTTGATAGTTTTTCGTTTTGCGAGGCGTTCGTCTTGCGAGGCACCACTGTAATATCTTGTATGAGCGAGAAAAACAAGGAAATATACTTTGGGGAAGGAAATGCAGGCAGCCACAGCAGGAAGAACCTGGAGGAGGCCGTCACATTTGACTCAGGGACACTGGAGTGAGAAGGAGCATGAATCTGTCCTCTTTGATAAAGGCCAATTCTATTTTCTCTTTGTGTTTAGCCCCCTCGGTGCTTGTAGGAACCATAATGTGTGGGAATGTTCAGGGATGCAGGAGAGGATATATTGTTTGATTATAGCCTTTCCAACTTGTGTAAACAAGTTCACAATTCAGCAGAGTAACATTCCCCTTTTTAAACTTACAGCGGATGTGTTTGCTCAGGCTCGCTAAAGCCTCTATAATAACTGTTTGGTATTTCCCCCTTATTCCCTCGTAAAAGATAAGACACAACACAGTCTTATTTAAAAATATAAAAAGAGTTTACTCACATTTTGTTCACAATCGGATCCCAGAAGCCAGACTTAGCTTAGAAAAGTAACATAAACCTTGAAACTATCTCATAAGGAGACAGTCATAGAATCATAGAATCATAGAGTTGGAAGAGACCACAAGGGCCATCGAGTCCAACCCCCTGCCAAGCAGGAAACCCCATCAGAGCACTCCTGACATATGGTTGTCAAGCCTCTGCTTAAAGACCTCCAAAGTAGGAGACTCCACCACACTCCTTGGCAGCAAATTCCACTGTCGAACAGCTCTTACTGTCAGGAAGTTCTTCCTAATGTTTAGGTGGAAACTTCTTTCTTGTAGTTTGGATCCATTGCTCCGTGTCCGCTTCTCTGGAGCAGCAGAAAACAACCTTACTCCCTCCTCTATGTGACATCCTTTTATATATTTGAACATGGCTATCATATCACCCCTTAATCTCCTCTTCTCCAGGCTAAACATGCCCAGCTCCCTTAGCCGTTCCTCATAAGGCATCGTTTCCAGGCCTTTGACCATCTTGGTTGCCCTCCTCTGGACACGTTCCAGTTTGTCAGTGTCCTTCTTGAATTGTGGTGCCCAGAACTGGACACAGTACTCTAGGTGAGGTCTGACCAGAGCAGAATACAGTGGCACTATTACTTCCCTTGATCTAGATGCTATACTCCTATTGATGCAGCCCAGAATTGCATTGGCTTTTTTAGCTGCCGCGTCACACTGTTGGCTCATGTCAAGTTTATGGTCAACCAAGACTCCTAGATCCTTTTCACATGTACTGCTCTCAAGCCAGGTGTCACCCATCTTGTATTTGTGCCTCTCATTTTTTTTGCCCAAGTGCAATACTTTACATTTCTCCCTGTTAAAATTCATCTTGTTTGTTTTGCCCAGTTCTCTAATCTGTCAAGGTCGTTTTGAAGTGTGATCCTGTCCTCGGGGTGTTAGCCACCCCTCCCAGTTTGGTGTCATCTGCAAATTTGATCAGGATGCCCTTGAGTCCATCATCCAAGTCATTGATAAAGATGTTGAATAAGACCGGGCCCAAGACAGAACCCTGTGGCACCCCACTAGTCACTCTTCTCCAGGATGAAGAGGAACCATTGATGAGAACCCTTTGGGTTCGGTCAGTCAGCCAGTTACAAATCCACTGAGTGGTAGCATAGTCAAGACCGCATTTTACCAGCTTCTTTACAAGAATATCATGGGGCACCTTGTCAAATGCCTTGCTGAAATCAAGGTAGGCTACATCCACTGCATTCCCTTCATCTACCAGGCTTGTAATTCTGTCAAAAAACGAGATCAGGTTAGTCTGACATGACTTATTTTTCAGAAATCCATGCTGACTATTGGTGATCACAGCATTCCTTTCTAGGTGCTCACAGACTGTTTGCTTAATGATCTGCTCCAGAATCTTCCCTGGTATTGATGTCAGACTGACTGTCCTCTCTTGGCTGGAAGCCAAGAGAGCATCTTTGGCTAAGCAGATGTTGCTTCTTTGATGCATGTAGTCAAAGAGAGAGAGATGGCTGTCCTACCCTGTGCTTTTGTCATTACCTGCACAGGTGAGGCCACACCCACCTCTAGTCACATGCAGAGGAAGTCTGTCCCAGCCCAGAAGGAAACAGGAAGTTTACCTGCTGGCTGGACAAACATTCCTCCCCATGTGTAAAGATGTTCATTCTAGGAATGTTGTACAGTGGTAGCTCGGATTAAGTACTTAATTTGTTTTGGAGGTCCGTTCTTAACCTGAAACTGTTCTTAACCTGAAGCACCACTTTAGCTAATGGGGCCTCCTGCTGCTGCCGCGGCGCTGGAGCACGATTTCTGTTCTCATCCTGAAGCAAAGTTCTTAACCCGAGGTACTATTTCTGGGTTAGCGGAGTCTGTAACCTGAAGCGTATGTAACCCGAGGTACCACTGTACTGCGGAGAGCCAAGCAGAGCCCAGCCCGCCAGCGCGGCCGCCCGGGGGGGGGGCGTGAATGTCACCCCCTTCAGAGTGACACCCAGGGCGGCCCGCCCCATCTTCCTACGCCACTGAGCACATTGCAAGCAATGGGGTTCCGTCCTTTATGCAGTTCAGTAAACTTTTCTCTCTCTGGTCCCAGAGAGAGATCCAAAGCTTGTTCATCACTGCAGAGTTTCTCTGCTGCTGTTAGCCATCTCTGATTTCTCAAGTTTCCTTTCCTGCTGTGGAAACTGCAGTGTGGGATTCCAGCAATGAGGTAACTTAACTCACTTAAATGGAGAACCACCAGTCTTCTAGTTTCACTCAGACTGGAACAATTGCTTAAGGTAAACATCTTCTTACAGCATTCCAGATACAGTGCATTCAAACACAGCATTTTGTCTATATAAATTTCCCTTGTGTGGGTGGCAAAACTCAGCTCCTTGTATGGATGGCGCCTGCCTTACAAGCCTGGAGATGCCTCATGGGAGGTGGGAAAGAAGAGAATGGCCAGGTGTTATTAGTGGATCGATGAATTCTTCTTGTGGGGAACCTTTGGCCCTCCAGATGTGGCTGAATTACAAGTCCTATAACCCAGGCACCCACTCTCTCTCTCTGCCTTTTTTCCTTCGATGAGGAAACATCTAAGGATGCCCTCTTGGCTCCCAGCCAAGAGAGGAGATAAGGACTATCTTGCTACAAGATAGATTCTGAATGTATGTAACCTTTTTAAGCTGTCTGCCTTCTGGGATCATATTGTGAACAGAACATGAGTAAACTCTTTTATACTTTTATAAAGACTGTGTCGTGTCTTGTATTTTAAGAGGGAACAAAGGGGAAATTACCAGAGTAATTATTATAGAGGTTCTAGCGAGCCTGTGCACACGTTACTGTTGCGAACTTAAAGGGGAATGTCTATAAACTCTGCTGATATTTTGGGAACTTGTTAGCACAAGTTGGATGAGGATATAATTAGTCAATATATCCTCTCCTGCACCCCAGAACATTCCCACAATCTTGTGATCGATGGGGCAAGGCTTACCTGGGCCGCCCCCATATTTCATTCAAGTTGGCTCCCATGAACTGCAAGCGGCGCCCTCGGGAAAGCAGCACCGAAGGGCGGAGTCCACGGGCGCTTGGGGCTCCTGCAGCAGGTGGTGCCAACGCTGGAGGGAGCTTGCAGGAAAGCCTGCCTGTTCGCTCTTTCTTTCTTTCTTTCTTTCTTTCTTTCTTTCTTTCTTTCTTTCTTTCTTTCTTTCTTTCTTTCCCTCCCTCTCTTTCTGCAGACGATTGGGGGCATTTTGGGCTGCACTAAGAAAGATTTCACCACCCCAGCACAGAAGGAGTGTTTTTTCCTGTTTTCCTCCTCTGCTTTGTCTTTTGGCAGGGGAGGGGAAACTCAACGCTTTCTCAAACGCTCCGGGTTCCATCAGTGCCTTAGTTCTCTAACCAATGGTTAAGGAAACATGATGCATCTCAAGGGTTTTCCCATCTGTCGGCAGCTGCTTCCTACTGCTACCCAAGCATTGCTCTTCTGCTGTAAACTATGAGTAAATTTGAAATTGACCTTCCACGTGTGTGTTGTGTTTTCTGTGTGTAGTTTCTTCCATTCACACCACAGTGAGCAAGAAACGGATGCTGTGGGAAGGGTCATTTGAAGTGTGGGGGAAATCTGCAGCCAAAATGACCATTTCTGTTTACTGTACATGTGTATAAAGGGATTAATAGACTTCATAAATTCCTCTGTGAACACCTCTATGAATTGTTTTTCACTGAACTTCTATGGAAAGAAATTTAGACAAAGGGTTTCGCATTTCCTCCTTGCCTCAGATCATACTCTTTTTTGTTTGCCTGCTGATGGAAATGTGTTGTTTGCTCTCTCTCTCTCTCTCTCTCTCTCTCTCTCTCGGGGAATCATTGCAGAAGAGCTAATAAAGTGGAACAATGGCTGAATTGGAAATAAATGACTGAGATAATTCCAAACGAATCCCCCCTGATAGGTAACT